CAAGTCAACCACAGAAAGACATTCAAAACTTTTAATATATCTTGTCGAATTTCTTCTGCCCCCAGCTTTACCACTTTTCAGAAATTTGATTGCAGTTATCATTTCAGCCGCTATGAGATTGCATCACAGAATATCGTTCAGGGTAAGATTTACAGGGACGTGCTTGAGGAGATCCTCAAAGTATTCATACAATTTCTGAAGGATGTTCCACTTTATTTGATGGGCAGCTTCAGTCAGCCGTTCTTGTGGGTCTTCCTGATGCAGTCTGCGACAGTTAATCGTTATCTGTTGGTAGTTCTCTCCATCATTTCCGTTAAACGCTGACCATAATGAAAAATGGGTGAGATGAAAGCATGATTATGTCTGTCATTGGTTAATGACAAATTATGATACCAGTTGTATTCATAGGTGTTACGATGCTGGAAGGATGTGTTGATTATGGACATGCCATTGGCGCAGCAGGAGTCCAAGAGTTATGCTTCATTCAAGTTTATATGTTGGTCATAATTCTTGCCGATCTTGTCTTTCCATCTTTGGTTGTCCTCTGACCGGTGAGTTGAATTTTCCCATCAGTACCAGCTACTCGTTTCATGACAGCATTCACACTTCCTCTATGAAGGATTCCTAGTATATATTTTGGGTTAACATACGTACATTAGAGCCAGCGTCTACTCTTCAGATTTGAATTTCAGCATGCAAATCATTTCTCCCAAGGCGAACTAGTTAACAACAGAGTCAGCCTGCAGGGCACCTTTATCGCTTCTCATGCACGCGCATTCAGAGAGAACAGCCTCTACCTGTGTTAGAAGTCGAAAACCTTGAAGCTAACTTGGTGCTTGGTAAGAGAAATTCTAGCTATATCTTGGAGGTAGCGCGCTATTTCTTCAAATAGCCCTTGTTGTCTTCCGGTCAGAGAGTAGACGTCCATGTTACCACGTCATGCTTCTCTCTCCCTCCCAGTTTTTTCGTTTGATGCAAGATATATTGATTTTTTTCGTGTTGTGCACTGCCCCGGCATTACATTTTGTGTTCCAAAGTGGATAGCTGTCCCACTGATAAGAGTTCGAGACTCGTTTGACTGCAGATTGCACAACGAGTTAGTGTGGAATGTTAACTGATTTTTCTAGGTAACCCCTTTGCCAAAATATCGAACGCGTCCGTTCGTAGCCCTGCCGACTTCTGCAGATCGGTAATTACAGTTCTTAAGCTTTGTGGCTATCATGGACTTTAATCGCTTCCCAGTTTAATGGTTTCAGCATTGTATGGTGGAACTGTGGTTTAATCGAGTTGTAACTTTGTGCGTTGCAACTGAGCGTAAGTTGTCCAGACGAGCGGCTTAGCTTTCATGACCATAGCAGGGAGCCAGAGATGACGAACGTCTTAAGTGTAGATCTTCCAGAAGAATTCCAGGAGTTTCCCAGGTAGCGGAATAACTTTGCATCCTTCTCAATTTTATTCATCCAAGTGACGATTAGCGGCGTACGCGCCCGTTCTAAGGTTCAGTGTCTTCGTGATTTGCGAAGAAAAAATTTAATTTAATTGGTTCTTAAATCATGAATCGAGGAGCGGAATATTCGTGCTGTTTCTGGACCAGAATCGACAACCGTTGTAAAATTTATTTAAAACTAGTGAACCGATAAGTTAGGATCAAGATCAGGATCAGTTATTGATAAAAGTTTCAAGTTCGAACTTCGTTCATTTGTTAAAACCACAGTCTAGCTGTTGACTTTCAGAGAAGTTAGTATTTTGGTAGAATTGTGGTATTCTTTACTTAATGTTATCATTGTCATCAAAAAATAACCTAACTGGAAGTTGAAGGTTCTGCAGATTTAGTGATGCCTCATCCGCTTGTCCTTTTTAACGTTCATTTGAATTCAGCTTTGTGTATGAAAGTTCTATACATCTGACTTTTAGTGCATTACAAAGTTCTGGGGATCATTGGTGTACATGCTTTCATCTGGAAATCAGCTATTTTCTTTCATTTTTATGCTGGAAATTTTAGACAGCGGGCCACTGCAGAAGAATCATTACATCATCCATGGATAGAGGTATGTCGAACACGTTTTCCGTTTTTATCTTTTATCCTGATTTTAATTCGGTACAGATCACTTTAAATTTACACCGTTTTCTTAAAGTACAGACTTAAAAGTTTCTTTGCTCTGTTCTAACCTACCCTTTGCAGAAGTAGGATAGCAGAATCTGTTTTTGATTTCATAATATCAGTTTAATGACTAATTTCTTCACTTACTAATCAAACACTAAGTTTTTAGTTGAAGATTTTTCACGCATGCATTAATCTGATCTGCTTGCACAGTCATGTTTAACAAATACATGACCTCACAGTCTGTTAAAGTTCATCGACTAAGTCTTGATGATCCGCAGAAGAATGTCTATCTGGGATTGTTCGTCTCTGCAACGGGGAACCAGCTTGCGAAATCATTAGAGAAGTAAAGATGGCATGGTTCACTTTTGGAAGGTTGAAAATATTCCTGTCATTATGCTTGATACAGTTTTCG